TGGCGATGTCCCTGCCACGCTGATGTAGAAATGAAGTTTGCACAACTTAAATCCAATGTTTCCTCACTTAAAAATATTCCAAAGGGAAAGATTAAGAAAGAAATCCCTGCAGTGCACGTGGCTGAAAACCAGTTAACTGCATAGGAGATAAAGCATGACTGATTTAATTGATTTTCTTTACCCAAATGAGAAAAATTCAAGAGACAATAAACAATGCACTGAAAATAGTAGAAAACAAAGTGGATAGTCTAGGATTTCATTAATAATGGGGGAAAAGAATCAGGATTTCTGATCAGTGTCCCTTCAACTAATGTCCTATGAGACTTCTGTTGCTTAATTTAATATAAAAAAACAGGTCTTCCTTCTAAGGATTTCTCTCCCTGAACATATACTTTAGGAAAGGGCTAGGCTTTCATTGAGGGCTAGCTTCTCCTTTCCATTAGAAACAGGAGAATAGATGGGTTTGTTGAAAATACAAGTCTATAACTTATTAAAGGGGCCCTGTTACTGTTACATTTCTAAAAGACAGCAGAGGGAAGCTAGCCATACAAATCAGTTTAAGGTTGCCTGCTTACACATGCAGGTACACACAGCAGCTGCAGCAAAAGAGGAAGGAAAACAAAACTAACAGAGGAAACAGATTAATAACTGACTAATGCCCAAGCATTGCTCAGTTTCAGCAGGGGTGCCACTAAAACAGTAACATTCAGGGGTGGTAAAGCCAGTCAATGTAACAGGATGACAGTAATCAGCAAGCTACAAAAAGGAAAATATTCTTAAGTACATTCTTAATTCTACAGGCAGCATTTGGTTTGTTACCCACTCTGCTAAAATGACTGAAGCCAGTGGGTTTCAACCCTTTCGACTGGGAATCCCTTTTCCACTTCAGGGCCAACCATCCCCCAAAACACAACTTTTCCCTCCCATTTAACCCCCTGATATTTGCTTGGAATCATGCTCCCAGGTCGACACTCCCTGCTCAAAGCCACAAGGTAGGTACAAAAAAGTAGGATGGGAATCACAAATACTGATGTGCAAGGGCACAGGCCTGAGCAGATGAGAGGAGTGGGGGTGTGTATGTGTGTGGTGTGCAAGGCTGAGGCTTCATCTGTTTTTGCTTGGGTTTTTTCCAGCAGAAGCATGCCATAATTTACAAATGTTTTCTTGCTCTCCCTGGACTTCTGTCCAGCTCTGACCTTTCTTGGAATAGGAGTAATTCCATTGCCATCAACATTTTAATGCTGTCCCTGTGATTTCCAGTTACTCCTCAGCCCATGAGCACATCCTCAGATGGGGGTGTCTGATCAGCTGCTTGTCTGCTTCCACACAGCCACAGCTGGGTGAGACAAACACCAGATGGGGAGGCAGGCAGAGGTGCTTTTTCATGAGTTCCCAAGAGTGCGGTTGCTGAACAGATCAGCATCTGCTTGGGTCAAATACAGGTCCTGGCCCCATAGAGAAAAAGAGCAGACAATGTATGACAGACCAGCTGAGAAGAACATAGGAACTGAGTCAGGAATAGAAAAAAATCAGGCACTTATGAACATGACATTCCACAATGATATGCTTGTATGTGGTCCAAGGCCACATTCCCACAGTTATTGTTCATATCAAAGCCTTTGCAATTCCCCAAAGACAACAATATGCTGGCACTGGGATAGGGCTAATATTGGGTATTTCTAACTCCTTTCAAAGCTCTATTTGCAGAATAGACCCAAGTTTGTTGATTAGTGAAATTATTTTCCCATGCATCATCATCTGTAGCACACGCTGCTATTGTCTGTAGTGATGACGCACCAAGTGGGTTTGGAGCATTTGGTGTGGGAAAGATCTAGCATTGCTTATGGGCACAAACACAAGTGGCACAGTACAAATCCTGCTGTTGCATGAAATGGGAGTCCTGGTATGGTGTTTCTTTAAGGGGGAACACATTGATCCTGGCAGCAAAGAAACATTTATGCTAAGGGACAGCCCACTGTATCGCTGAAGACAGCACTGAAGTCCCTGAACCCTTGTTGGCTCTAGTCACTAACCCAGCATGCAGCCATCACGTAGCTACCCAGCACCACACTGTTTGCAAAGCCAGATGTCACGGGAAGGTGACCAGGCTTACAAGGTGACCAGCTTTTGTGCCAGTGTCACCTGCATTTGGGGTGAATGGACCATTCCTTGTTTCCCTAGGCTGCTACCTTTTTGAAGAGGAAACTAGGAAGGGAACATAACTGCAACTCAGAACACCCAGCACCAGCAAAGAAGCTAATGAATTGGCTGTCAGAGGGTGGCAGCAAGCAGGTAAGAAACATACTAGCAGCAAACATCAGTGTGATTCATTAGCAGCCCCTTTCCTACTCTGCAAGCATTTGCTAACAAGGGATGTCAAGCTGCTGTTTTCCACCACTACTGACTCCATCAGCTTTCTGAATCTGCAAAGCAAGCATCAGGTGTAAAAATTCCCACCCCACCTGGAATGTCACAGAACACAGAAACTACGCTTCACAGTGACTATAAATGCTGCTTCATGGCAGCTTTTCCACAAATTCTGTTCTTAATTCTTAAGAGTGTGCTTGAGTGAGCACATTCCTGCCCCCCCACCCCATTTACCGTAGTGTTGAATGGCTTTAAAAGTCAACTGTAAAAAGCAGTTTTCTCTTTAACTGGTTCAGAAATGTACAAGTGTTCATTGGTGAGAGACTACTTTGGCAGAAAGCACTTGAAGGTAGACTATCATTTGTGAAAGCTTATGCATCTCTGAACCAGTTAGACACTAAGGAGCCACCCTGCCTTCTCCAATACTGGTCTTGTTGCTGGCAGTAATCTCCAAAGTGCCACCCTGTCCTGCTTTCTGCCTGACTTCAGACTATCATGGCCATGGGGCACATTGAGGATTTTGTTAAGGGGAGGGGGGGAGGGAGGGAAGCTGTGTGTTGCAGGAGTAGTTGTATGCCCCTCACTCCCAGCCATCCTCTCCCACACCAGGATGGGTAGACTGCACTGTGGGAGCAGAAGCTGAGGTCTCGAGTCCCTCAGTCTGGTATCTTTCCTCCCCACCTCCCTTCTCCTCCATGCACAGCAGCACATTATCCTCCCTTGTCCACCACTGCTGCTGTGCCCTGCTGACTGAGGGACAGGAAGGGGGAGAGCTCCAGAGCCACTCCTGCTCCGCTCCGGCCAGGTTGAACATGGAGCCAGGTTCTGCCAGAGACAGCCATGGCATCAGTGGCAGGCAGGTTCCCTTCCCCAGGGCCTGTTCCCTGGGCTAGCAGGGAACACTAGGGGACCCAGCAGGGCAGAGAAACCTGCTCGTCACTGCTGCTGTCCCAAGCTGAGCCTGGCTCACCACAGAGCCCACCTGGAGCATGCAGAAGCAGCTCTGGAGCCTTTTCCATCCCTGGGACAGCCAGGGATAGTGGCAGCATTGGGAGATGTGCTGCTGAGCACAGAGAAGGGGGTGGCAGGGAGGAGGAATTCCTACTTGCTTCAGGGACTTAAAGTCCCTGCCTGTAGTTCTCATGACATTGTAGACCGGGGGGGGGATGCATCCATGCCATTGCACCCCCACCTCTAGATCTGTTCTTGACCACAGCTAACTACCTCTCTCTACTCAGGTCTGGAGAAGAAACTAATCAGCGTTACTGGATTGTGTAGAAGATTAAGTCGGAGATGTTTGTTTTTTTGTTTGCTTTTACGTTTTGGATGTTCCTTATGCTTCAGTTAGAGAATACTATAGTTTCTACTCGCATCATATTGCTTTTTACTTACCCAAAGGCCAGAAACAAGAGCAGCGGGACCTGCTCAGGGAGCAGTAATAGCCAGGATTTTGTCCATCTGGGAGGAGGGCACCATTTCTGCTATGTGAGAATCTTGCCTTATTCATCTGTGCTTTGCTGCTTTGAGATTAAAATCAGGACCAGAAGACTGGACGGGACCAGCTGCATCAAACCTAGACCTCTAAACTTGCAGATAGTATCTTCTGTATATTGCTTTCATGAAAAGTTAAGTGAACAGTGGTTGGGGTTTTTTTTACCTCTATTTATGCTGAGAGGCTGTTTCAACACCAAAATGCTCTAACAGTTAGGAACCTTCTTCCAATTTCCAGCCTAAATTTATTCATGGCCGCTTCATACCCATTTGTTCTGGTGCCAACATTGTTGTTTAGCTTCAATACTTTTTTTCTCTCTCCCTGGCATTTAGTCTCCAGTGTATTTATAGAGAACAAGTCATGTCCCTTCTCAGCATTCATTTTGCTGGACTACATGAGCCAAACTCATTTAGTCTCTTTTCATATGATAGGCGCTCTGCTCCCATCAGCAGCATATTAGTCCTTCTCTGCACCTGTTCCAACTGAGTTTAGGGCCTTGTAGTGTGCTACTAATACTTCCTTATCTCTCCTGGAAGTGGCTCTCTTGATGCACACTAAGACCACGTTTGCCTTTATCAGGGCTGCAGCAGCAGGGTGGCACATAGTCATCCCATCACAATAGTACATCCTGCTCCATCTTCAGTCATCTTTAACTGATGGGTTTTCAGCCAATGACACACTTGGCCCCTAACCTAAAAAGCTCTTGAAGTCAAAAGAGGTGCCAGAATTGGCAGCTTTGAGGGGGTTGTGGAGGAGAGGAATGCTCCCTTTTGAGCAGTCTGGGTGCGGCACAAGGAATCCTGCAGTGAAGAGCAGTATCACCCCCGCTAACCCTGTTTGGATTGAAACCCTACGCAGAAGTGGACACAAAGGCTAAAGAGAAAGGAATGGGAGTACCACTGTCCCAAATTTGGAGGGATTCCTTTCACATGGGGATAGTCTGTGTCATCATCATAACTCCATTACCCAAAGGTTGTATCACTGGATTTTTGGTGTTCCAACCAGGGAAAAAAAGTATCTCTCTCATTTCAGACATTTTACAGAGACAGCTCAAATAATACTAATAATTCTTTTGAACTCTGCTAAACCTTTCCCATCTCAGCAGAGATAAATCAAACATAGCAACAGACAATACTGTAACTCCTATTTTTGAAAAGTGTTTACTCACATAGTTTGAATAAATTAATTTGCAAATAAAAATTAAACTACAGTATAATATAGTCTTAATATAAATGATTAGAACAAGTACAATACAGGGGATCCTTGCTGCATAAGTCTCATTACTTAATGCATATAACAATCTGAAAAACGTCAAAATTAGTTATATTTCTATGAAAGGGGTGTAACAGCAGTTACTTGTACATGACAGCTAACTAAACTTATAATACAGACTTCCTGACATGCATTTCCTGAGTGAACCAAACAATATATACCATTTCTTTTTAAAATGTAGAAACAATTCTTGAGAATCAAAATAAAATCTGTGACTTAAGCAACACAGGTCATTTTGTTTTTACCAGGGAAAGTTTAGAAAGGGTGTGAAGGGGAGAGGGGGGTAGCTATGCTACAGAGTACAGGAATTTGCTACTGTCAATTTATGCAGTACATATTTCCAAAACAACAACAAAAAAAAAAGAGTTTAATAGCCGATTAAAAAATGAAACAAAAACACAGAGCTCAACTCAATCCTTAAATATCAGGTTGTACATTTGTCACAAAGTATGGTGGGGTTAGCATCAAGCTGCATGTAGTGCACAGCCTCTGCTGGTAAGAGATGGAGGAGGGAGCAAAGACAGGAGAGCATTTTGGGTGGTTATTGAAAGCGAGACTAAGCACTGACTTGAATCAGCCGTAGTGTGAATAGCCTTCATGCAAGCTTCCCACACGCAGCTCTGCAAATCCAACTCAGTCTCAACCTGAGCTTTTCCTGAGCAAAGACTTCCAATTGAGCCAAATAAGTCACTGGCCCTGGGATGTAGTCAAAACATCCATTAGGTACCAGGCTGTTATTTCCTATCACTCGTGGTCTAACTGCATATGTGCACTCACCTCCCTGGAGCTGAAAGGCATATGTAGTAAAAGCAAGCTGGCCTCCTACCTGCCCTTGTAGTTTTCAACAGAGATTCTGCAACTGGTCAGACCCAATTTCAAGGGGAAAAAAATAAAAGAACAAGGAAAAAAAAAAAAACCCCTCACCTTTTTGGCTAATTTGCAAGTTTTTCCAATAGTGAAAAAATGGCTGAGCCTTGTTTTTAGGGGGTTTCTATCTGCTCTGTTACTGTTTAAATTAAAACCCCACAAATGTTACTAATACTAAATAAAGAGACTAATACTAAGGGAGAAAAATCCTTAAATTTAGATTAAATTGCATATTCAAAGAACTAGGTAAATGCTTTCTTGTGATCAGTACTTTTATTACGTTCCTATCCAATGGAGGGACATTTCAAGAGGTCCATCTTAACTTTCATGTGGTTAAGCACACTTTAACAACAATTTAATTTGCATTATTTTTAAAAGTTTTCAGCTATTCTAGGAACTCAGTATTATTTTAAATTAAAAAAAATCTCTACTTTTTTTCTTTCCTTAACTTGCCCACCCAGAACTAATCTACACATCCAGTCGATGGATGTAACACACTACTACCATGCTACTCTAAAACGCTCTAGGATATTTTCAATAATAAAGATAAATAGAAAAAGTTAATATACAGGTTGCTATATTTTACAACATTTGCATCAAAGCTGTAAACTAATGTCAATTGAGCTGACCATTTTACCCTCTGTTATACAAAACAACTTTTAAGTTACCAAGGGCATGTCATCCAAAAACATTAAATTGAAGGCATCATATTTCTCTCTGCATAACTCCTTTCCCCACTTTAAAAGTAGTCACTAATCAAAGAGGCAAAAACCCTTGCCCCATAAATTCTCTTTTTTTCTCCAGACTTTTCCTGATGTAGAGAGGGATTTAGCTGCTCTAACAAAAAACAAAACAAAAAAAAAATCTTCATTTTAATGCAAACTGTCAAAGCCCAGAGAATGAGACAGTTGGTTTAAAATCAGAGCTTAGCTTATAAGTTTAATGCAGTTCTTGGTGGCATGTGTGTTAGTCAAGAGGTCCTTGGAAAATAAGTCTGATGTAACCTTGTTCACCAGCCAGCTGATGTGCACAGAATGGACAGGCTGCATGAAAAGTATGAGTACCATGAGGAAGAGGAATTTGGGACCAATATGCTGTTGTCTTTTCTGAGCACACGTGTCCACATGGGCTGAATGCGTGAGTTGGAGGTCCTGCATCCACATAAAATCCAGCTTCGCATCCAAGCCACAGAGGCACGTAGGGGCCAACAGAGCGGCACATGGGGCACTCCCGATCCTTCCCGTCTCTCTCCTCTTTGTTTCCCCAGTTGTGATAGCCATGTACATGGCCACAGTTCAGATACACCCAAGGCTGCTTTTCATCGACAACATCCTTCCTCTTCATGCTAGGAAATGCCAATGTGTTAAACCCCACTGGACACTGAGGCCTGGCTGCATTTATTTCCTGTCTTAGGGCCTCCAAATGCTTCACTGTAGGAGTACGTGAAAGGCCTTCTGCAGTGCGCCATAGCAATGTAGCTCCACACAGATCAATCAGTGAGCCATCTTGGAGTTGGTTGGTTTCATTCTCAACCTTTGGAAGGGGATGGAAATATGCAGATGTTACAAAACATGGGATTGAAAGAAAATGAACATATCACCAAACAATTTAAGAGTCAAATCTTGTTAAGCACCTCCAGCCAAAAGCTGAGTGACTACCAATAGTGAGTGCCTAACTAAGGATGCCTGGAGAGGGCCCTGTGTGGATGCTTTTAGAAAAATTCAGGCCGTTTAAAGACAGGATGACCATCCACCCTGGTCTGGCCAGGACAGTCCCAGATTATGGAGAATGGTCCCAGCCAGCTGGTGAAAAGTAAAATGAGCGTCTCAAGCAGAGGGTGGGGAAGCAGAGCAACACAAGCTATGAAATAGGAAGCTCTATCAGACAGCAAAATTGCCCTAAAAGAAATTAGCCTGACTAGTGGAATGACCATTAGAAAGAGATGATTGTTAACATCTTTGTAGTGAAGAACAATGGGTCACTAATAGGCCACTGACTCCCTTAGTTGCCTGAATAGTAAAACCAGAGCTGCACCACTGCTGCCCTGCCTGCAACAGCCCCACTGACTTGAGATGGGCGGGGAGGGGGGGGG